TCCGGGGTCCCCACAGCGCCAGGGCCGGAACCCGGCAGCCCTGGGGCCGGCCCCGGGTTCCCCACAGCGCCAGGGGTCCCAGGAGCTATAGGGGCAGTTCGGGGGTCCCCACAGCAACAGGGGTCCCAGGGGCTATAGGGGCAGTTCAGGGGTCCCCACAGTAACAGGGGTCCTTAGGGGCAGTTCAGGGGTCCCCACAGTAACAGGGTTCCCAGGAGGTGTAGGGGGCAGTTTTGGGGTGCCCACAGCAATAGGGGTAGAGAGCCTCACCATCGCAGAGGCAGATCGAGCATCTCTCTATCGAAAGGGGCAGATCTGGGGTCCCTCCAGCTACAGGGGCGCAGGTGCTGTAGGTCTAGCTTGGTGCTATAGGTCTAGCTTGGGAATCCCTGCAGCGCTAGGGGAGGATCTGGTGTCTTGGCACCATATAGGCTTTGCTGCTATAGAGCTAGAGGAGAAATTCTTGCAGCTCTTGGGGTGGATCTTGGCCCCTGCAGCAGTGCGCGTGGATGTGCAGGAGGAAGCACAGTGCCGTAGCTGCAGGTTGGGTCTCCAGTGTTGTGGGGGTATCTGAATGTAGCTCAGAGATCTGCTCATCTGTATGGGCAGAGATCCCCATGGCTATAGAGAAAGCTCAGAGATCATAGCAAGCAGGTAGGCAGTTCAGAGGCCCCTGTTGCTGTAGGAGCAGCTCAGAGGTCTTGGCTAGGGGCTCAGAGATCTCATCACTGGAAGGTCCGGACTGGCACAGATCTGCCTGATTTATTTCAGGCAGGGAGAGCAGTGGATTTGTGGCATCCATCTGCCAGTGTGTGGGACCTGGTTGTCTGACAAGCCATACAGCCAGGCCACAGACCACGAGGGACTACTGGGGCCAGCAAGAGACCTTAACAGGTCCCAGCAGCCTTGGAGGAGGGACGAGAGAGGAGTACCTCAGCCCACCGCGGGAAGCAGTGCCCGGATGCTCTGGGTGACCCAGGTATGTGACACCCTTAAGCCGTATCAGACGCTGCCCAACAATATTATCCATGATCACAGAACCGGCTGCTTTCCAGCGTCTCCAGAAGGATAGGCCTTAGGGACATGCTAGACAGGGGCAAAGGACAGCTGGGGAGCACCAGTGGGTGACATTGTGGGCTGTCAGCTATGCACTGGCGTTGAAATGCTCCTCTTCTGTTGTGGGCAGCGGGTTAGGGCTGGAGTGTGTCCCCCTCCCCTCCCCTCCCCACCGTAGCCTTAGCTGCTGCACTCTGTGAGGCCATGTGGTGCTACTGGGTGCCAGGAAGTGGGACCTGAAAGTGAAAGTGAAACCTGCAGAGAAGTGGCCAGAAGTCCCTTTCCAGTGTCCCCAGCAGGAGATGGTGCAAAGCCACTGTGGAGAGGGAACATGGGAGTATCACAGAGAAAAACGCAGCGAGGCATAGCACACTGGACAACAGGCCACGATTTAGTTTGTTTTAAATCTTATTTCCATCCCTGTTGATGATCTTTGAGAAAGCAAAAGGTTCCCTGTGGCGGAAGATGCAGCTTCCATAGCTCATGATAGTCTACCCCATGGGTACCCTCATCTGCTTATTCCGGGCCTGTAACTCACATGCCCACACCAGAGCCTTTCTCCCACCCCAGGGCTCCTGCCTGCCTAATGTGGGATCTGAAAACTAGACGTGTCTGGTGTGTGGGGTCACAGACTGGGGGAGAGGCAGTGGCTCTCGGAGTCGCTGGGGGAAGTGTTACTGGGGTGGAGAGGAGCTCTGTTATCATATGACTTAATGTGCCAGATGTGCCTCCAGTCACATGAGCCGTCCTGGCGCTGATTTGTGCAGCAGACTGGTTACAGAGCAGTCTGCAGCATCCTTAAAATGCTATTAGTAAAAAGTGTATCTGTCTGTGCACAAAGGGCCTGTCAGTTCTCTGGATTGGAATAGTGTTTGTGGATAAATATTGGATAAATAACTGCTGCAGTGAGGCTATAGGTTCTTTCTGGAAGCAGCGTACGGGGTTTCTTCTGGGTTCCCAGCATGAGCAGCATAGCATGACTGGGAAGCTTTTCAGTACATTCAATGTAGCTATAAGCATCTTCTCGTGATTGTAGGGTCAAAGCCATAACAGCACCCGACGAGGCGGCACCGTTCTGATTGGGGCTGGCGGGGGTAGGAACATAACCTGATTTCTTCCAGTCACAGGCTGTAACATGTGCCTTCACCACAGGTTGCTGGGGAGAAGGGGCAGGTGGAAATGGTCAGTGCGTATTTTGGTTCCATGGTTGTGAGTGAGTGTGGTCACATTCCAAAGTGATGAAAAACCAGCTCAGCCTTGTAACAACTCAAGAGAGTGGCAAACAGCTGCTTTCTGACTTTGTTCAGATCAGCACTTTCAGAGAACTTGGGTTCAGAAGTTTTGAAAAGAGCTGGCCGATGAGGTCTCTGTTCCAGCAAAACTGTTCAGTGCTAATTAATAAGATTTGTCAGCTGATTAGGGGAAAGCTGATGCTGGCCACTCTCAGAGGTGAGCAGCCTGTGATGAAATCTATGCAAAATAAGGTAATACTCAATAAGGAAAGCAGTGAGGTTGCTGCTGGTCAGCTTGGATTAAAAGGCAACGGATTCTATAAAGCTAACACATAACTTCACCCAGGGAAAAAAAAAGACTTATATTCCATGATAAAAGTGTTGCTGTGATACACGTTGATGGCTGTCAGGCATATGACTTGGAGTTGCATGATCTTTTGATGAATTAAAAACTCGGAGGTCACAAGACAAAGCTAACCCCAAGTCAGAGAAGTGACAGCAGGCTGACAGTTTTAGATAATCAGTGGATTGTCAGTGGAGAGTAAGCATTGTCCAGATGTGCTTTAATGGGATCTCAAGGATGGTTTCTGTGACCCTGAAGATTCATTCTATCATATCCTTAGGAAAAAATGAGTTTGCAGAGAATACAGTGATTGGGACAGTCTCCATGTCCTAGACAAACTAGCTGCAAGCAAGTTTGATACATGCAGTGATGACAAATCAAGTCAAACACCTCCACATAAAGACTACAGGTTTGCTGAGCTGGGCACCAGTTTTTAAAGCTGGTATCCTGGGAAAGGCTTGCTGGTCAGGCAGTCATGTATGGCTATTGGGATTCATGTGTGATCTGGAGAACAGAAGGTTGGATGAAAGAGGTTTTCATAGAGATTCATAGTGCTTCTCCCTTCTCTTGTGAATCTTAAAAAAACACTTCTCATTGCCCTCCTTCGAATGAAACAGGTTGCAGCTTCCTCCGTAATAAATCCTGGCAGCCAGGAATGGAAGAAGAGTTAAGAGGAAGACTTCTTCTTAAGAGTCTCTGCAGAGAAGGTGAGGATGACCTAGGGAAGCCTGGCTGTGCAGTAGAAGATGTTCTCACGCCAAACATGAGAATGTGGATCTAGACCTGCAGCAGCAGGAGGGCAGCAGCAACTGGGACTTCAGTGCGGTAGCAAGGGCCTGAGAGGAGGGTCTGCAGAATAGCTCCTGGAGTCCCTGGGAGGATGCGAGGTATCAGGGGACGGTAGATGGGATCACAAAGGTGACTGAGGGATCTCAGCCTGTGGTTACTGCGGTGGGTGACAGGGCCTGGAGCACATCCCCTTTCAAGGAGTTAAGTTGGTTAAGTTAAGGAGTTTAGTTGGCTGATTCAAAGGTCAGCTCCTTCACTGGTAAGAGGTGTTGTGAAGAAAGCTAGAAGTGAGGGCCTCCCTGTGCTTTCCCTTTGGAACTGCTTTTAAGCTGAGCCTTTACTGCTGGCCCCTGCCTGTGCTACATCGCAGCTGTGCAGCAGCTATGTCTGGGCCTGGTCTCCTGCCTCTGCCAGTCTGACTGTGATGCGGACTCACTGGCTTGGCTTTCCAGTTTCACCTGGGATCTGCCTCATCATTATGGACTTGCTGGGTGCTCGGTTGCTGGCTGTGCCTGACTGTTGTCTGTGGCCCTGATCCTGGGGCATGCCACTCTGCGTGCCAGCTCCTTGTTGGTGAGGTCACTGCTTGTGTCTACATTATTATCATGCTCACAGCACACCGCTCCTGGTGGAGCAGTTAGCCTTCACTGCCCCCTGACAGTGGGATTCCCACGCAAAATTGATGTGACTCAGGCAGTTTAGGCCAACACAAAATTTTGTACTGTGTGTCTCTATTGTATTTGGTTTCATTCTAGGTCATCTACAGCTGCTTTTACCACCTCACCTGGCTCTATCTTGAAGGAATAAGGGTGAAAACATGAGCCAGGTCTTGCATATTGGCTATGGTGTGCTAGGTTGCCCCGTGGCCTGTGGGTTTAAGTGCTTCCCAGTAGTTTAACAGAGCGCTTCCCTGAGTGAGAGCAGCCAGAATATGGCTGTAATTTGTGCCAGTTGCCTGTGGCAGCTAAGATGCTTTCTCATCAGCAGGGATTTGCTAGGGTAGAAGAGGTTTTACCTACAGCCTCTTCCCTGGATGCTTTTGAGCTCTTGTGGGAGATCCTTTGCCTAGGAGTCGCTCCTGCAGAAGGGAACTGGTTCAAGCATCCCTGGTAATCCTACAAGTGGCTGCAGTACAGAGTTCTGGCTATTTCCAGCCTCATGGTGTTATTTTTTTCACTAATGAAAGAGAGGTGACAAATATGCCTGCAAAGACTGAGTCTGGAAAGCTGGGTAACGGTGGCAATGTTAAACATCCTCGTGGAGCTGCCATTGTGTGCTGCATCACTTCGGTACCCAGTCACTACACAGCTCCAGCAGAGTACCTCTGACAGGGCCTCACTGTGACGCTCTGAACCTGGCGGGAGCTTTGACACCACCAGGCAGGAAGCACTGAGAAGGGTGGGGCTGGAGGGGCTCTCGGAGGTTTCTCCCCTGCATCCAGGCTTAGCCAGCTCTGTCTAAGCTTTCTAAGTGATGTTTGGCCAACCTGTTCCTAAAATCCTCTGAGGGCGGTGATTCCCCCCATCCCCAGACAAACAATTCCGGTGTTCCACCACCAAGCTTTGAGTGCTTTAAAGACTGCTGTTAATCCCTTGATACTGTTTGAATATAGATCCAGCTTTACAACTGGGCAAAATCAGGCTTCATCTTGACTGCAGAGGAATATTCGAGTCCCAAGACTTGCTGGGAAGCCCTTAAGCCTACAGGGTTAAGGTGTGCCTAGCACAGCACAGCCAGTACCCTCAGTATGCCACCAGCATCTTTCTTGCACTTGTATCGGGGTCATTGCTTTAGGAGCAGAATCTCTCTTGGCATTTCCTATCTTCATCCCCCATACCCTCACCCTTCCATCCTCGTGCTGTATGATAGATGATGACAAGTGAAAAATAAGGCCTTGATTTTCTGGTCTGGACTGGGATGCGCTTGCTGGATGATACAGTGAGAGGAGAGGGCTGACGGCCCTCTTGGTACAAATTAAATTTGCATGGACAGTAAAGTCACATTTTTCAAAGGCTTTGCTTGCGCTCTCCAAAGAGCAAGGAAACAAAGTAGCCCATCTGTTTATCAGAGTCCTTGTGTTCCCATCTGAAGGCAGACAAAACATTCATAAACAACAAGGGAAGATAGTCAGCATTTTACTAAGTGTTGGTGGAAAAGCAGATCTAGCCAGTGGAAGCGGCAGGGCAGGTTCCCAAGAGTGTGGGATCTAGCCCTTGCTGCCACCCATGGCATGAGGTCTCACCCTGTGTTTTCCATCTCGGCTGCTCTGTGCCGTAGCTGTGGGAGTTGTGGACTAGCTGCTATGTGAGTCTTGACTTTGCCTCTAGAGTGAGAACGGGCCCTACTTTACAGTAGTTTAAGAAGAGGTGCACTCAGTGGCCTCAGCCATGATATTTGGGGCAAAATGGGAGATGGGAAGAGGAGGAGGATGGGATGATATGATACAAGCAAAGGTGATATAATCACTGACCCTCCGATTTCTTACTGGGGCATGTAGATCCTGTTGTAATACTGACTTTGAAGGAACAGGTCAACAGACTGAGAACAGTTTTTTCTTCTGTGAACAATGAGTGGAGATGTGTTTTCAATGGTTAACAGCTTGAATGTGTTCATGGGGCCTGACTCACACAGGAGGAAAAAAAAAATGCCGCAAATCCAGGAAATTCCCATTTTTACTTCTGGGATTTGCATCATTGCTACAGGGAGCCAGAGTTTGGGGCTGGAGAGGACTCGGGGCTCAGGGCTCGGGAAATGCAATAGGGACTCTAGAAAGAGGGTGGGGAGAGGGGTCGATAGAATGATGCGGCACAGAGGGAACCCCCCCAGGCAGGACGGAGGAATAAGGAAAGGAGAGGACACAGG